GTTGTCCTTGGTGGTCTCCCTTCCAAATATCAACCCCATCAAGGGGCTGTCAAGGCAAGTGAGAAGCAGAGGTGGTTGGCCATTGCCTTCCTCTGCAGAGTCGTCCCTGGTGGTCTCCCTTCCAAATATTGACCCCAGCAAGGAGCTTTCAAGGCAAGTGAGAAGCAGAGGTGGTTGGCCATTGCCTTCCTCTGCAGAGTCAACCTTGGTGGTCTCCATTCTAAATATTAATCCCCCCAGCAAGGAGCTTTCAAGGCAAGTGAGAAGCGGAGGTGGTCGGCCATGGCCGTCCTTGGTGGTCTCCCTTCCAAATATTGACCCCAGCAAGGAGCTTTCAAGGCAAGTGAGAAGCAGAGGTGGTTGGCCATTGCCTTCCTCTGCAGAGTCAACCTTGGTGGTCTCCATTCTAAATATTAATCCCCCCAGCAAGGAGCTTTCAAGGCAAGTGAGAAGCGGAGGTGGTCGGCCATGGCCTTCCTCTGCAGAGTCGTCCTTGGTCGTCTCTCTTCCAAGTACCAAGAACAGAGGAGCCTGTTCTTCCCTGTTCAGGAAATGGGGAGTGACTGTATACAAATGTTCCCAGCAAATCCCCGGGCCAATGAAACTTTGGTTTCCAGGACCAGGTGAACACACATGTAACACATGAAGAGCTTGTCTGAAGAAGTGTGCTTTGCATACAAAAGCTTACACTCTGGTCTTAAAGGTGCCACTGGACTGAAACGTTGTTCGGGAGGCCACCAAGGAAGTCTAGGGTTGTTACACAGAGGCAGGCAGGGCCAAATCACTTCTATTCATCTGTCCTGAACTGGCTAGCCTGATCTTGCCAGATCTCAGAAGCTAAGCAGGGTTGGACCTGGGTTGTATTTGGAAGGGAGACCCCTGCCAAGCAGTGTTCCCTCTAAGCTGAGTTAGTGTGAGCTAGCCCACAGTTTCTTAGCCTCCGGCTCACAGAGCCTCAGCTCGGGAAGGAGGGCTCCAGAGGAAACTAATTCGAGCAGCTGCCAAATCACTCGCTCACCACTTTCACGCCAAGCAGCTCACAAAGTAGAATCTTTGCTCACAAGACTCCACAGCTTAGAGGGAGTTTTGGGTGGGACACCCCCAGAAAGTCCAGGGTCACTATGCAGTGGCAAACAATCGCGAACCATCTCCCTTTGTGTCTTGCCTTTTACCACTGTACGGGGTTGCTATGAGTCACTGTCCTTCTCTGTGAGAAGGACAGGACCTTCCACCTGTGGCTACTTGACAGGACCTTCCACCTGTGGCTAGATTAAGATGGGTCGCCGTGTTAGTCTGTCTGTCTATAGCAGCAGAAAAGAGCCAGAGCCCAGAAGCACCTGAAAGACTAATGACATTTGTGGCAGGGGAGGAGCTTTCACGAGTCACTGCTCTCTTCTTCCTGTTGCGGTTTTGTGATGACTTGTGATGTCTGTCGGTTGGGATCCCAGAGAACTCACGTGTTCCTTTCCTCCTCCAGCCACACCGTCCCAGCCCTCTATCGTTGGTCCTCCAAGCAGAGTCGATGCGGGGGCCTCGGGGACGTTCACCTGCACCTCGGATGGATTCTTCCCCCGAGACATCACGGTCACCTGGCTTAAGGAGGGGAGGGCCATCCCCGCCTCCCGGACCACGACTCTGCCCCCGAGAGAGAGCACCTCCTACCGAGTGGTGAGCGCCGTGGAGGTGTCCCTCACAGAGAAGGACGTGAAGTCGGAGCTCACCTGCCAGATCCAGCACAACACCTTGACCGGCCCCCTGCGGCAGAGCTTCAGACTTGGCGACGCCCTCCGAGGTATGAGAACCGGCAGGCCCTGCAGATTGTTTAAGTGATAGCTGTAGAGAACGGACGAGGTCGTGTATCCCGGAGAGCATGGGAGGGGGTCTCTCCATCGTGCCCTGATGACCAACCTCGAGGGACATCTTATCTTATTTATTTTATTTATGTTATTTATAGTCCACCTTTCTCACTGAGACTCAGGGTGGATTACACAACATAAATCCATGCAATCTGTAGAAATGATAACGTCCAGTAAGCAATGCAATAGGACTAGGAATTTGGGAAATTTGGAGCTCAGAAACGGCATGTAGGACAAAAAAAACCCAGCACATGAGAAGAGATTTGCCAGCTCCAGGTTGGGAAATTCCTGGAGTTTTGTGGGCGGAGCCTGGGGAAGGTGGGGTTTGTAGAGGGGAGGGGCCTCAGTGGGGTGTGATGGCATACAGCAGGGCTCCCCGACCTCTCTGAGCCTGTGGGCACCTATAGCATTCTGACACAGGGTAGTGGGCCCAACAACAAAATGACTGCTGCAGGAGAAGGAGCCAGCCACAAAATGGCTGCTGCAGGAGGAGGAGCCAGCCACAAAATGGCTGCTGCAGGAGGAGGAGCCAGCCACAAAATGAATGCTGCAGGAGGAGAAGCCAGCCACAAAATGGCTGCTGCAGGAGGAGGAGCCAGCCACAAAATGGCTGCTGCAGGAGGAGGAGCCAGCCACAAAATGGCTGCTGCAGGAGGAGGAGCCAGCCACAAAATGGCTGCTGCAGGAGACAGAGCCACTTACACAGAGGATGCCCAAATGCAGGGGGAGAAGAGGTAGAATTAAAAACACACTGGGAAAGGTGGGGGAGAGAGAAAAAAACATTGAACTGAATTTTTATCCCCCTCTTCCTCCATGGAGGTCTGGATAGCATCCACGGTTTTCCCCTCCTAAATATTATTTCCTCAACAATCCTGTGAGGTCTGCCCGAACATAAATGTCATTGTCTTGATGCTGGGTTTTTTTGGTTCCCTTCAGTCGCCCCCAAGTTGTCGATGGAACCCAGCCACCTAGTCAACGTCATCGTGAACCAGTTGGTGACGATCGCCTGCAGCGCGAAAGGTTTTTATCCCAACGACACAAGCCTGGTGTGGCGGGAGAACGGCAGTGAGACGGATCTGGGAACACCTGAGCCCCTGACCCAGGAAACGGATGGGACGTTCTCCGTGAAGAGTTCCCTGGAGGTGAACACAACAGAGCAGAGGAACCATTCCGTGTTTACCTGCTACGCCATGCGCAACTCCCAGATTTTGGATCATGTAAACGTGATGCTGAAAATACACAGAGGAAAGGGAGACAGCTCTTCAGCAAATACAGGTGGGTTCGTCCAATCATTTGTCAGTCTTTGGGTCCCTTTTTCTGTTCCGGGTTGGTGTCTTCAAAGCCTCACACTCCCAATAGGGCAGGGGGCCCCAGCCCTTTTGAGCCTGCCGGCACATTTGGAATTCTGACACGGCACGGTGGGCGCAACAACAAAATGCCCGCCACCAAAATGGCTGCTGCAGGAGGCGGAGCCAGCCACAAAACGGCTGCCACGGCTGAACTTCAGTGACACAGGGCAGATCCTTGTGCTGTGATGTCAGCTGCTGCCAAAGCAACATCTAAAAAAAAATCTGCACAGCCAATCAAATCTCCACTGGCCAATCAGAAACCTTCCTTGACAAGAGCCCTACCTGGCCCCGTCCACTTCTCAAAAACACTTGGCGGGTGCCAGAAAAGGTGTCAGAGGGCACCGTAGCACGTTGGGGACTCCTGCTGTAGAGCATCTCATGGGAAACCCTGCTGAGTCTCTGCAGAGTGACACAGTTTCACCAAGAGAATGAGGAGCGAGGGCACATCCACCGCTCCAGCATGAGAGCTGGGTAAGAGGCAGGCCCAGGATTTTGGCAAGGCCGGGGTGAGGGTGGAGGCATAGGCAATCTCCATTACCCCTAAAACCTGGTGCCCAAGGCCTCGCCTTACCTCATTACAGAGCCAGCCCAGTTTCTGCAGCTTCCTAAAGCGCCTGTCGTTCCTTCACACTGTTCTCGGCAATGCAATGCAGTTCTTTCCCTGCCCTCCCGTGTGTAGTGCATTGTGGTGTTGGATTTCTCGCTCAGACTCTGATCCCAAAAGGCCCTTGGCGGAAAGGGATGCTGAGCTGAGCCCATAGAAAAACACTGGGGCAAAGGACTGGTGTTCCCAATCAATTTCGATAATACCTTTGTCGAACGAAATTTCGACTTCGGTACAAGCAGTTGAAATATACATGCTACCCTTTACACACAATTAACTGTCCTATGCCATGCTCCCTCTAAGCTGTGGAGTCTTGTGAGCAAAAATTCTACTTTGTGAGCTGCTGGCATTAAAGTTGTGAGCAAGCGATTTAGCTGCTGCATAAATTAGCTCACTCTGGAGCCATCCCTTCCTGAGCCAATACAAAAATGTGTGAGCCGGAGGGTAAAAAACTGTGAGCTGGCTCACACTCACTCAGCTATGTATACCGATTTACCATTCTTTTTTCTAAAGTGTGATGAACTCTTCACAAAACTCCTTAACGTTATTCCACCACCCTGAAAGGTCTATGGGAGGGGCCGTGGCTCGGTGGTAGAGCATCTGCTTGGCAGGCAAAAGATTCCAGGCTCAATCCCCGGCACCTCTGGTTAAAGGAATCGGTAAAAAAAATCTGCACAGCCAATCAAATCTCCACTGGCCAATCAGAAACCTTCCTTGACAAGAGCCCTACCTGGCCCCGTCCACTTCTCAAAAACACTTGGCGGGTGCCAGAAAAGGTGTCAGAGGGCACCGTAGCACGTTGGGGACTCCTGCTGTAGAGCATCTCATGGGAAACCCTGCTGAGTCTCTGCAGAGTGACACAGTTTCACCAAGAGAATGAGGAGCGAGGGCACATCCACCGCTCCAGCATGAGAGCTGGGTAAGAGGCAGGCCCAGGATTTTGGCAAGGCCGGGGTGAGGGTGGAGGCATAGGCAATCTCCATTACCCCTAAAACCTGGTGCCCAAGGCCTCGCCTTACCTCATTACAGAGCCAGCCCAGTTTCTGCAGCTTCCTAAAGCGCCTGTCGTTCCTTCACACTGTTCTCGGCAATGCAATGCAGTTCTTTCCCTGCCCTCCCGTGTGTAGTGCATTGTGGTGTTGGATTTCTCGCTCAGACTCTGATCCCAAAAGGCCCTTGGCGGAAAGGGATGCTGAGCTGAGCCCATAGAAAAACACTGGGGCAAAGGACTGGTGTTCCCAATCAATTTCGATAATACCTTTGTCGAACGAAATTTCGACTTCGGTACAAGCAGTTGAAATATACATGCTACCCTTTACACACAATTAACTGTCCTATGCCATGCTCCCTCTAAGCTGTGGAGTCTTGTGAGCAAAAATTCTACTTTGTGAGCTGCTGGCATTAAAGTTGTGAGCAAGCGATTTAGCTGCTGCATAAATTAGCTCACTCTGGAGCCATCCCTTCCTGAGCCAATACAAAAATGTGTGAGCCGGAGGGTAAAAAACTGTGAGCTGGCTCACACTCACTCAGCTATGTATACCGATTTACCATTCTTTTTTCTAAAGTGTGATGAACTCTTCACAAAACTCCTTAACGTTATTCCACCACCCTGAAAGGTCTATGGGAGGGGCCGTGGCTCGGTGGTAGAGCATCTGCTTGGCAGGCAAAAGGTTCCAGGTTCAATCCCCGGCACCTCCGGTTAAAAGGATCGGGTGGGAGGTGATGTGAAAGACCTCCACCTGACATAACGGAGAGCCACTGACTCTGAGTAGACAGGACTGACCTTGATGGACCGACCGATGGCCTGATTCAGTATAAAGATAGCTTGGTGCGTTCATGGGTGCATCCTCAACCCCATTCCTTAGCTCATAGGGTCCTCTTAGAGATGTCTTGTTCCAGGCCATGAAAGTTGCTAAAGATTTTAGAAATCAGATAGGAGATCTGGATGCAGACAAAGATACGGCGTTGTTAGAGACTTTGAATGGATGCTCGTTGTATTCTGGCATCCCACAGAAAGACGTATCAGATTGAAACGATTTAGGGGGCATTAAAGAAAAGACACGATCATGTGCTTTCTTAACAGGCTTGAGTTGATAGTGCTTTGTGCTTGGCTTCCAAGATTGGATGAGATCGGGCTATCCTGGCCTATCCAGGACCAGAACCAACGGGCTGAAATTAAATCAGAAGAGTTGTCGGCTAAACATTAGGAAGAACTTCCTGACAGTTAGACCTTCTGGCTTATGGTCACTGGTGGTCCTCTGCTCCATCTGTTTATCTAGTCTCCTCTTGAAGCTGTCTATGCTTGTAGCCACCACCAGTTCCTGCAGCAGGGAATTCCATGTGTTAATTAATCTTTGGATGAAGAAGCAGTTGGCATCAGGTCTTGATGGAGGCAGCCAGGCCAACACTCCAATGATCAAAGGGTTGGAACACTTTCCCTATGAGGAAAGGTTAAGGCGCTTAGGGCTCTTTAGCTTGGAGAAACGACGACTGAGGGGAGACATGATTGAGGTTTATAAGATTATGCATGGGATAGAGCATGCATAATCTTATAAACCTTTCTCACAATACAAGAACTCCATGAAATTGCTGAGCAGTCGGGTTAGAACGGATAAAAGGAAGTCCTTCTTCACCCAAAGAGTGATTAACACATGGAATTCACTGCCACAGGAAGTGGTGGCAGCTACAAGCATGGACGGCTTCAAAAGGGAATTAGATAAGCACAAGAAAGGGGACCCGCGATACTCGCGGGGGGGGGGGAAGAAGAGCTCCACACAGAGCAGGAGGAGGAGGCAGCAGCAGCAGCAGGTAAGCGCTCTCTCCCCCCCATCCCCGAACACCGGCAGCGCGGCCTGAGAGGCTTCCAGCCACCGGACCCCACCAATCTCTCCCTCCCTGGCTCCTTCACCCTCCACCAGTCTCCTCCCCCCCCGGCCTCGGCTCCAGCGGCACGGCATCTGGCCCTCTCAACCCCCCCCCCCCCCGGCTCCTTCATCCTCCGCCGGTCTCCTTCTCTCCCCCCTGTCGTGACTCTGGCGGCCAGTCTCCTCCTCCTCTCCCCTCACCTCGCCTCCGGTGGCAAGGTCTGAGCAGCTTCCAGCTGCCAGCCCACTGCAGAGTTCCCAGACAATTCCCTGCGCATGCGCAGGAAATGCTCTTTTACTTTTTGGGGGATTTAAATATCCCCCCTATATTTTTTAGATTTTTGTGCACCCCTAGGGACTTCCCCAAGTATGCAGGAAAATCTCCCTGCCCCCCCGGTGCCCCCAATGTGTGGATTTAGATATCCGCATGCAGGGGGCGCCTTCGCTATTAGATATATAGATATGGAGCAGAGGTCCATCAGTGGCTATTAGCCACAAGGTATAGATAAGGACTCTGGGGCAAGTGATGCTCTATCTTCTTGGTGCTTGGGGGGGTGGGGGCAACAGTGGGAGGGCTTCTAGTATCCTGGCCCCACTGCTGGACCTCCTGAGGGCACCTGGTCTTTTTGGCCACTGTGTGACACAGAGTGTTGGACTGGATGGGCCATTGGCCTGATCCAACATTGGCTTCTCTTATGTCCTTATGTCTGGGGCAAGAGATGCTCTGTATTCTTGGTGCTTGGGGGGGTCAACAGTGGGAGGGCTTCTAGTGTCCTGGCCCCACTGCTGGACCTCCTGAGGGCACCTGGCCTTTTTGGCCACTGTGTGACACAGAGTGTTGGACTGGATGGGCCTTTGGCCTGATCCAACATTGGCGTCTCTTATGTTCTTATGTTCACTATATCCTCGAGAATACGTCACCATCCGGCATTCATTTTATCTTATTTTATTTATTTAATTAATTTGATATTTATCCCACACTCCCCACAGATGGGCTCAGGGCGGGTTACAAAGTCACAAAATCTTAACAATGGTACTTAAAATAATTAAAACAGTAATTTAAAGCAGTAGTAGAAACAGCAATCAAGGTTCATGTCACTATGCTCAGTTCGGGCTGATCAAAGAGTCAGCGATTTCAGTAGGGGAGGCCAAAGATGGATTTTGGATGTCCACCGCGTCAGCCGAAAGCCCGGCGGAACAGCCATGTCTTGCACTGCAACAAATCCTGCAGGGCCCTGATCGCGACTGGGAGTATGTTCCACCAGGCTGGGGCCAGGGCAGAAAAGGCCCTGGCCCTGGTTGAGGCTAGTCGGACATCCTTGGGGCCGGGGCCCACCAGTAGGTGTTAGTTGATGGAGTGCGATGCATGACTTCTGAGTAGAGTTGGTTTGGAAAAGGTGTAGGGTGGAAGGGCAAGACTGAAACTCAGTTTCATGGCTGGAATACGTAGCTTGGGCCCCGGTCACACGGGCCAGATAATGTCGGGGGGAGGCGTGGCTGTTCTGGAGCAAAATAAAGCGTGGTAGCCCAATCACATGGTCCCCCAAGTCTCCGTGCTTCAGCTGTTAGCTGGCGATCACACGGCGATGCTGGAGCGTGGCAAAGAAGCAGTGCGGCATGATCACACAACCGTTTTGCGTTTATGCGCATGCGCAGTTCCGTGGAGCAGCACTGCTTTCAGTTTCATCTTTATGTGCATATGCTTATGAAAAACATCCAGTTTGCGACGGGACGTGGACGGGCGGCGGATGCCACGGGATAGTAGCACTCCCGCGATCAGACGCCCGTCTGTGCCGTGCGTTTTCCGGATACTAGTGCACTTTCCTTGGTACTTTTTAACTCCGCATCTTCGGCGGGATGCCACGGGTTGGCCACGGGTGCGCTACGCTTCCCAGATGTTGCGGTGTGATCGCGCTCCAAAAATCCACCCGACAATCGTGCCTCTCACGCGGCAAATTCTCCATGTGACCAGGGCCTTGGTTTTTCTTTCCAAATCATTCATGTCGATATCAGTGTTTACTATATTCATGCCATGGGACATTAGTAGTAGTAGTAGTAGTAGTATTAAATGCCAGTGTATTTATATCTTATTGTGTAGCCATATGGGACAAAAGGCAGCATGGTATATAGCCCAGTCTCATTAGATCTTGGAAGCTCAGCAAGGTCAGTGCTTGAATGGGAGACCACCAGGGAAGGTTCTGCAGAGGAAGGCATTGACAGGTCATCTCTGCATCTCACTTGCCTTGAAAGCCCCTTACTGAGGTCGCCATAAGTCAGTTATGATTTGATGGTACTTATGTACGTTCTCCTATTACTGGTAAGGGAAGGCGTCATGGTATAGCCCAATATTGTCAAATCTCGGAAGCTAAGCGGAGTCAGTCCTTGGATGGGAGACCACCAAGGAAGGCTCTGCAGAGGAAGACAATGGCACACCACCTCTGCTTCTCACTTGCCTTGAAAGCTGTTGCTGGGTTGCCATAACATGGTTCTGACTGGATGGCGCATACATATGCATCCAGCCACAGACAGTTGCTGTGGCTTACACAAAATAGAGAAGATGTTTCTGTTGGAAATATGTGTGTCGCAAGGTCTAAAATCAGTCATTATAGGGTTAATGTGTCTTTACCTTGTGTGCTATTATTTAGACTGACCTGGAAGAGAACCTGGCACTAAACCAATGGGAAGAAAGCCCGGGAAACTGAAGCCTTATTACTAACAATCATTGGTTAATGCATTCAGGTGATTTCCTTCCAGGGGTCAAGAAGAAAGGAAGACTCTCCATTACTATCTGTGTGTCTGTTCTTGCAAGCATATTTGTTTGTTGTTTTGTAGATTTCCCTGTGAACCTTTCCCTTTAGAAATAAAGATTTTTACATAGAAAGAAAATGCATCCTCTCCAGTGAACAAAGATCCATTGCAACCTCTGAATATTTAACTGTTTTTACCAAATTTTCCAACAGTTTCAACAATAGAACAATTGGAGTGAACAACAGAAATTAGATAGACTGTGGTCACACACACTACAGAATCCACTCTCAATCCACTTCCGATGCACTTTCCAACTGGATTTTTACTGTGTGAACTTGCAAAATCCAATTCAAAAGTGCACTGAAAGCGGGTTGAAAGTGGATTCTGTAGTCTGTGCGACCGCATGCCATGTCAAAGATTGAAAATGGAAATGAAATTAGGACGGCCGCAAAGCTCCGTGTGCAGATGTGAGTCTTTGTCTCCAGGGTTGCCAACTCTAGGTTGGGAAATTCCTGGGGATTTGGGGGTGGAGCCCGGGGAGTCTGGAGGGTTTGGGGAGGGGAGGGACCTCAGCAGCGTGTAATACTATAGAGTCCACTTTTCTAAGCAGTAATTTTCTCCAGGGGAACTGATCTTTCTAGTCTGGAAATCAGACTATAATTCTGGGAGATCTCCAGGCCCCACCTGGAGATTGGCAACCCTGCTCCTTACTGCCAAATCGCCGTCTTTCTTGCATTTACTCGCTTATCTTCTGCCTTCTCATTGCAGGTCCGTGGCTGTCGTTCAACCCTGGTCTTTGGGTCGCGTTTGTCGTGAACAAGATAGTCGCCACTGTCTTCTTGTCATTCCTTTTCCTGAGAAAAATGTTCAGTAAGACGAATAAGACACGGCAGCGTCAACCGAGGAAATGAGGCAGCGGGAGAGTCCTGCCAAGCAGCAGTCTACGCTTCAAAAATATTACCCCGAATCAGTGCTGTGAAATGGTTACATTCTCATGATACGGGAGTCCCCAACGTGGTGCCCGTGGGCGTCATAGCCCCCCGCCAACCCCTTTCCTGGCACCTACCAAGTGCTGTTAGAAAGTGGGCGGGGCTTGGTAAATGGGGCTTCCAATTGGTTGTGCAGATTAAAGGGCATTCTGTTAAAAAGAATTTCTGCCTGAAAAGTTTAAGAATTACTGTTTTTGTGGTTCAGTCACACAGTCGAGCCCGACTCTTTGCGACCCCACGGACCACATCACACCAGGCCATCCTGTCTTCCACCGTCCTCCGGAGTTTGCTCAACTTCATGTTCGTTGCATCGATGACACTGTCTGACCATCTCATCCTTTGCCGTCCCTTTCTTCTTTGACCTTCAGTCTTTCCCAGCATCTGGGTCTTCTCCAGTGAGTGCTCCCTTCTCATTTGGTGGCCACAGTATTTGAGCTTCAGCTTCAGTATCTGGCCTTCCAGGGAACAGTCAGGGTCGATTTCTTTTAGGATGGACTGATTTGATCTCTTTGCAGTCCAAGGGACTCTCAAGAGTCTTCTCCGGCACCAGAATTCGAAAGCATCTATTCTTTGGAGCTCGGCCTTTCTTATGGTCGAACTCTCACAGCCATATAGTACTACTGGAAAATTACTGTTAATTATACATAATTTTGGTCCTTGACATTTTGTGGCTGGTTCCGCCTCCTACAGCAGACATTTTGTGGCTGGCTCTGCCTCCTACAGCAGACATTTTGTGGTTGTGCCCACCAACATTTATCAGAATCCCAAAGGGGCCCACAGTTTTGTTTTTTTTAAAGGCTAAACAACCTAGGCAGATTCTGAGAGGGAGGGCAGGGAGGGTTGCCTCAATGCTTAGTTCTCGTGGCCGTTTCTTACATGCCCAGGGAAATGCCAATCGCCACTTTGGGATGGTCAGGAAGCCATTTTTCTCTAGGCCAGTTAGACCAGGGATCCTGGAGGGTTTGTGGGGTTTTTCCCCCCCATCTTCTGGGCAGGGAACAAGGGTCACTGGGGGGAGGGGAAGTATTTGTGAATTTCCTGCCTTGTGCAGGGGGCTGGACTAGATGACCCTTGAAGTCCCTTCCAACTCTCTGATTCTATTATTCACTATCTTAACCTGGGAGCTGCCTCTGACCCTGCCTCTCTCTCTCTTTTTTCCTCTCCCTCTCTGCACATGGCCTTCCATGGAGACAAAGGTCTCTACAGGTCTCTCCTGTACCTCTTTGAAAAGTAGAAGTAGAGTCCCATCTTCGTTGCCAGTGGAAATTACGGAGACCGATGAGTAATTTCAGCTCTCATACTTTTATTTGTGGTTTGGAACAAGACAAAAAAACCCGGCTCACCGGCCGGCTGATATTTGCAAGACACCCACACCCATGACACACACACCCACAACCGTGATAGGGTATTTACAGTGGCCGAGAGTTCCATAGGTCCTGGATAGGACCCTGCCCCTCCTATTGGTGCGGTCTAGGATCTGCTTGGCCCAATGTCTCTCGGAGCAAAGCTCGGAGGCTTCGCATGACCCCGGGGCGAGCTAGCCTCACACGCGGTCGGGGATGAGTACATTACACTCTTGGGAAATTTATTTACTGCACTCTGTATCATGTTTCTATGAGTGGGCAAATTCTGCTAAATCAACCAAATATCTCAGTAGTAGGGCGGGGTTTGGAGATGGGAGGAACCCCAGCAGGGGATAATGCCTTGCCATAGCGCCCAATCCCATAGAGCAGCCCAATGCAGGGCTCTTTCTATAGCAGGAACTCCTTTGCATATTAGGCAACACACCCCTAATGTAGCCAATCCTCCAAGAGCTTACAGAGCTCTTCTTACAGGGGCTACTGTAAGCTCTTGGTGGATTGGCTACATTAGGGGTGTGTAGCCTAAGGGACTCCTTTGCATATTAGGAGACGCACACCCTAATGTAGCCAATCCTCCAAGAGCTTACAGAGCTCTTCTTACAGGGGCTACTGTAAGCTCTTGGTGGATTGGCTACATTAGGGGTGTGTAGCCTAAGGGACTCCTTTGCATATTAGGAGACGCACACCCTAATGTAGCCAATCCTCCAAGAGCTTACAGAGCTCTTCTTACAGGGGCTACTGTAAGCTCTTGGTGGATTGGCTACATTAGGGGTGTGTAGCCTAAGGGACTCCTTTGCATATTAGGAGACGCACACCCTAATGTAGCCAATCCTCCAAGAGCTTATAGTAGCCCCTGTAAGCAGAGCTCTGTAAGCTTGTGGAGGATTGGCTACATTAGGGATGTGTCGCCTAATATGCAAAGGAGTTCCTGCTACAAAAAGAGCCCAATCTCAATACAAGGCAGCGTCATATTTTTAGTACTCTAACTTCCTTGGGCTTCCTAATCATTATGTTCACAATTATTACCTCTAATGGAATACTTATTTTTAAATCAAATAAAATGTCACCCTGCATTATGCTGCAAGCCCACTATTTAAACATTGACATAACCGATCTTTGTTGTCTGTGTTGTGTATTAGCTGCAATAAGATGGCCATGGCAGCGGTAGCCTGGCCACGTGGTCAGACAAACCTTCCAACCTTCGATCCTAAGACAATAGCCACGAGAAAATTTGGACAGAGGAGCCAATAGAAGAACTATACAAAGGAATGCAAAAATCAAAACAAGGATTAGCAGGGAAAATCTATAGGAAAATGAAAACAAATAAAGACAAGACAATATCCTATCTACAAAAAACTTGGGCCAAAGAAGGCCAGATATCAGAAAATATGGCAAGGAAAATAGTGGAAGGAATAGAGGCAATTAAAGTGATAAAATTCAATGAAATGGAGCATAAATTCTTTACAAAATGGTATAAAACACCAGCGCAAATAGCAAATATGTTCCCGGGAATGAGCCCTAGGTGCTGGCATTGCAAACAAGCTAAGGGGTGGTTTTCCCATATGTGGTGGGAATGCCTAGAGGTTAGGGTATTTTGGACAAAAATATTACAAATTATAAAAAGAACATGTAATGTTTCACTGACCAGTAACTTTAATTTAATGCTAATGGGTATATTAGCGAACCTAGCAGTAAGTAAAGAGTACCAAGCCATGTTTAAAGCCATGATACTAGCAAGCAAAGCAGTGATAGCTCTAGGTTGGAAGGACAAGAGTAAGTGGACGGTAGATACTTGGCATAATTATTTGTTTGATTTCATACAGTCGGATATAATCAAGAAACTGAATCAGAAGACCACATGGGAAGACAAGACCACAGGAATTAGGGGAAAATGGAAGACCTACTTGGAATGGCTACCAACAGAAGGAAGAAAAGACAGGCCCCACTGGTGACCTTGCCTTCATCCCTGGAGGACTCTGCTCTCGAAGTGTCTTTGAGGACCAGACCTTATGTACTTTTCATCCACGGCAAATCACATCCCAAAGTATGTGCATCGAAAACAAAAAACGCTGATGTCGAACGCTGACATTACCGGTGCGGGGTTATTTTAGTCCTTGACGTCCGAGTGCAAGGAGAAGAAAAGATCTGCATTCGACACATGTCACGCGTCTGGCGTCTGGCCGAGCACGGCCCTCGCCTCCCTCCCTCGATTTTGTCTGCCAGAATTCCCAACATCTTCACAAGCAGCCGCTGATTTCTTTTGTCACTCCAGCCAGCTCTCGCTCTCTATCAGTCACTTGAATCTCTAATAACTCTACAGAGCCCCATGCTTGGGGGAAACTTTAATTCCCTGTTCCGAAAGTGTTTTATTAGACTATAACCTTGTGCCAATAGCAGTTAATTTTTCACTTAAGCCATTTGCTTATCTGTTGGAACCCCCCGACCTCTCCTCCGGGATGTGTATCTACTAATTCTGCTGATTTATGATGAGACTCAGGCCTAACCTTTCTACACCATTTCCGCCTTTTCCACACTACGCTGAGATTTACATTGGAAAGGCTCCTGTTGTAATTCACAGTAAGCTTTAATTCCTTCTCTCACCCCACCTTCCCCATTCTGTTTTCTGGTTCAGTTTTTCATTCCGATGCGTATCTGACGAAGCAGGCTGTGACACGGTAATTTCTGAAGATTTGGAGGTGGACACCTGGAGAGGATGGAGTTCCCCCTCCAAAGTAGCCATTTTCTCCAGGGAAAATTATCTCTGTAGCCTGGAGATCGGTTGTATTTCCAGCGGAAATCAGGCCCCACCTGGAGGTCGGCAGGCCTAGATCTAACCGTGAAAGCTCGTATTGAAATAGCGTTAACCTTTAAGGCGCCCACTGGACTTTTGTTTTATTTCGTTTGTTTGTTTATTTTTTTTTTGGATTTGGATTCCGCCCTCCCCTCCGGCAGGCTCAGTGCAAATCACATCATAAACAGAAGAAAAGGAGGAGGAGGAGGAGGAGATTGGATTTATACCCCGCCCTTCACTCGGAGTCTCCGAGAGGCTTAGAAACTCCTTTCCGTCCCCCTCCCCACAATAGACACCCTGCGAGATAGATAAAAACATACACTAATATAACAATATTAAAAACATCTAGGTAATAAAACAGCTGCGTTTAAACCCAAACACAGTTTCAGGTGGAGTGGTTGGGTCCAGGGATCTTCTTAACCCAGGCTGAATAATGATCATAGAATACCCTGCCCTTCACTACCCAAAGGGGTCTCAGAGCGGCTTACAAACTCCTTTCCCTTCCCCTCCCCACAAGAGACACCCGGTGAGGTAGGTGGGGCTGAGAGAGCTCTCTCAAGGACTGCTGTCAAGAGAACAGCTCTGAGAGGAGGAGGAGAAGAGGAGGAGGAGGAGATTGGATTTATGCATCTCCTTTCACTCAGAGTCTCAGAGTGGCTTGCAAACTCCTTTCCCTTCCCCTCCCCACAAGAGACACCCGGTGAGGTAGGTGGGGCTGAGAGAGCTCTCTCAAGGACTGCTGTCAAGAGAACAGCTCTGAGAGGAGGAGGAGGAGAGGAGGAGGAGGAGATTGGATTTATGCATCTCCTTTCACTCAGAGTCTCAGAGTGGCGTGCACACCCCTTTCCCTTCCCCTCCCCACAACAGACACCCGGTGAGGTAGGTGGGGCTGAGAGAG